GTTGCTGCCTGCTCTCAGTCGACCTACGTACTACCGCACCACCCACTTGTCTGCAGTTCCTGGTGTGAAGTATTGGGGCGGCGGCAGGGACAGGTCCGTGCCTTCCACATCACTGGCCGCGGCCGCCTCTTCCCCCTCCCGCTGCTGCCGCTGCTGTTGCTTGAGCTTCCTCTCCAGCTGCTGCCGCATCACGGCTCTCTCCTGGTAGTGCAGGAACAAAAGGTCCTGGAGGAGAAAGGATTCAGGGATGAAATGAGAAGGGGGGGACCCGGGGGGTTCAGAGGATGACGGAGCAGCACGTGGGCTGGGGCGGTGTGGTGATGTGTCACGACAGCTCAGGGGATAGCCGCGGGAGGCCAGGGGGTCCATCTGGGTACCGGGTGGGGCTGCTGGGGCTGCTGGTTCCCCACCGGGGTAGCTGTTGGGGAGCAGTCAGCCAGACACGGGAAGGTCCAACCAGCCAGCCAGCTCTCCCTCTCAGCCCGGTCGGCCCTGCCCCCTCCCCCATCTTAGGTTGGACGTCGCGAGCTGTTCTCCGAGGTCCCCAATCTCACCGCAGCAGCCACCGGGATTCCGAGCCCCGACCCTTAAATACCGCACAGCACGTCCACATCACCACGAAACCCCCAAAAGTTGAAACAGGCTTCTCTCTCCCCCAGCCCGTCTCTCCCCGGGGTCCCCCCCTTCCCTCTCCCCCAGCCCCTACTCATCGTCACCTCACCTGGTGCAGGAAGAGAGGCCCCAGCAGGTGGGCGAGCCAGACGGGCAGCATCTTGGACCCCACGAAGCCCACCACACTCCTCCCGCCCCCCTCGTTGTCGGGGGAGGAGACCATGATCTGTCGGTTGATCAGCCGCGGCGGAGATACCCCCGGGGAGGAGGACACGAGGGCAATGAAGGAAGGGCCTTCAGCGTGGGCCAGTTGTTAGCTGCGGCCATCAGGTCCATGAGAGGAGACAACGCATGGAGAGGGGTTACCGGAGGGGCCGGGCCGATCTGTGCGCTGTGTGCTGTGCTCTTCTGTACTCGTCAAAGCACAGCACAGCACCACACAGCACATCACGGAAGTGAAACGGGGTGCTGGCTACGGCGCCTAGTCAACCTACCTACCTACAGACGGGACGAGCCACCGGGCCCGGTCGCATGCACCTGGTAGCGCTAGCACTTCACACGACGCGGCAACGGCTGTGGAGCGGTGCACGTGGTGCTTCCGCCCCACCTCCACCCACCGCACTTGCAGCAGTCCAAAACCCCCCCCCGGGACTCACGATGGGCTGCCCAGCCGCGGCGGGAAGGCCGACCCCTTGCAACCCACCATATCACCCTACAGCAGCCCAACAAAACCAAACGGATACACCTCTTCCCCTGCAAGCCCTTTTTTCCATGAGCCCAA